AGTAATGATGTAACGACATCATCGAAATTATAATGAAATCATTACATTTGTAATGACAGGAACAACCCTGACAGTAACCACATGCAGCCAATGCATGTAGCGCGCTTCAAACCGAGAAACATACGTGATGCCAGCTTCTGACTCAACAATGTTGTCATTCAATAATTATCAAGGAACGGTCATCTCCAAGAGTTGACTGATTCTTGCACCCATGTGCTCTCCTGTCAATGTGAAAATGACATTCTGCAAAATAGTAAAAGGAATAAACACGCCAAACATCCTTCGTTATGGTAATTTTTTCGAGATTTCTATAGCAACAAAGATTTCTACTTTGAGTTGAAATTGCTATTGCTATTGAGAAATCCCTGCATTATTGTATATTGAGATTCCTGCATATAGTTGAAATTATCAGAAAGTAACTGTGATTACTGTTGATAATGATAGGCACTAATGATTCACCACAATAACTTCAAACAAAGGATCAACCCAGGTGTGTACAAAACATGAGGCCCCCTTACAAATATATACAGAGTGTGATTTAGGTGATGGCTTAAAATGAATGATATGGTTCTTTAGCTCATTTGAAGGAGAGAAGGTCATATGTATTTATCAAATCCTGTGCTGAGACGATAGAACAACCACTATTCAACAACTCTATTTCTGAGGGTATTTTCTCAAATATATTTCGTCAGACTCAAGCGAACCTAGTACATAAAGAAGAGAGGAGCCATTGTCGAAAATTATCGACCTACATCTATGCTTTATAATATCCCTGTATGTGTGGGCAGTCCAGGACCTGTGCACCCACACTCCTGGGATCGCAAGTCAACCATAGAGAAGGCCGATCTCGCGAGCAAAAGAGACCAATTTCCTAGGCTAAATCTAAATCTAAATCCTCTGGGTCCAGGATACCGCCCCCAAAATGGATATCCCTTGCTGCCACTACTGCCGGGCATTCAGTGACGATGTGAGTAGAAGTCTTTTCAACCTTTGAGCACCATCTGCATTCAGGATCCTCCACAATCCCGATCATGCTGAGATACTTGTTCAAGTGGCAGTGCCCTGTCAGAAGGCCCACCACCAGTTCCAGCTCCTTCCTGTTCAAAGCCAAGAGGGCGTTGGTCTGTCTTCGTGACGGGTTTCCTATATGGAGTTTGGACTGCCTCATTCCAGGAGTCTCTCTCCAGCTGTCCTGAAACCTTTCCATCAGGATTTCCTTCATCCTGAAGTTGCTCCAGGATCGAGTGACTCCTAAGGCTGGCTCTGGACCAATCTCTGAACACTTTGCCCCCTTTCTGGCCAGACCATCGGCAATTTCGTTACCTGGTACCCCTAAATGCCCAGGGACCCACAAAAAACATATTTCGTTCGATGCATACAGCCTTTGTAGGCTATCTATGCACTCGACACCAAGGCGTAGGTCACCCTATACGAGGTGAGCGCCTGGCTGTCAGTGCATATAGTGATTTGCTGGCTGTGATAGCCCCTCTCGATATCTTCTCGAACACAGGTAAGTATTGCAAATACTTCAGTCAGAAAAATCGTGGCATGTTTCTCAAGGTTATAGTAATGATATGCTCTTGGCAGCAGCCCAGCACCTGCGCATTCTTCTATCCTGGAGCCATCTGTATACCAGATGATGCCCTTGGTGGATATTATGCAGTGCCCATTCTGTTCTCAGTCTATCCTAGTAGGAATTCTGACTTGGGGCATTTTCCTGAATCGAATGATCGGTGTTATACTGCCCCCTTTCAAACTGTGTGAGGGGTAGTCATCTGTAATTCGCTTCGCTCCTCCACTGGTTACAGCTTTGTAAGCGAACGGCGACTTTCAACGCCTCCTGTTCTATATACAGGTTCAGAGGTGGCAGTCCGGTCAGAGTCTCCAGCGCCCTTGTCGGCGCCGTCCTCATTGCTCCTGTTATGGATATGCTGGCCAGTCGTTGAACTCTGTCGAGCTGAATTATATCCCTGGTAAATGATTAGGAACAATAATAACCTCCGAGATATTTTTCAAAACCAAGCACTTAATTAGTGAGCACCAATATGGTTTTATCCAAAACCGTTCCGTATAGTGACAAACCTTGTCACATTTACGCAGGAACTTGTAGATATTTTGAGCACAAAAAACTAGGTGGATGTCGTGTAAATGGATCATTCGGAAGCATGTGATAAAGTTCACCATCCATCCCTATTAGTTAAGTTGGAGAACATTGGTACACATGACAACCTTCTTTCGTACATCGTTTGCCTAATATTTTCAGGCATTTCCAGTAATGACGGAAAGAAGATTCATTTAGGCCGAGTCAGCTTAGGTTGTTTAGAAGCAGTAGTCTCTTCTGTTCCCTCAAGTAATTTTCGGAAAAATATACCTACTTTCTAGGAAGAAGGTTAATTTAGGCGGAAAAATAGTTTCCCTTCTTATGCATATGCAGAAAGGATATTTTCCTTCCTCAACCCTCCAGCAAACAGAGCAACGGCTGAAAATGGAAGTTACACTGTTACGCTGTTTGCCGACAATACGTGAAATGACTAGGCATTTCAGGGAATGACGGATTTCACTAATTTGCCGCTGACATATACAGGGTGTTCCACAGGTAAACGGAAATATTTCAGTGGTACATAGGGGTCACCAAGGTGGTTCTGAAAATACCATATTTGATAGGTCTTAGAGTCTTCATAACGGAGATACAGGGCGATTTATCGATTTCGAGTAATTATTCATTCGTCTATAAGTATTGAACTACCCGGTATATTTTCCTCAAGTTTGGTAACTTGGGACGTTGAATTTAGTCACCTATCGTGCGGAGCGAAAATCCAGGTTCGGCTTCAGGAAAAATTTACATTTATTCGAAATGTTAAAATAACACACTGTATTTGATAATTGACATAGTTCATCAAAGGAATTGTGAAGAGGAGAAAAAACTGAACTGGATTTGATGCTTTTTGTTTCCCTGCCACCAATTCTCATCGTAACAATCATAAACAGAAAGCTAAAAGTATGTCAATTTGAAGAGTATTGAAATTATGAAACCACTTTCGATTATGATTATTTGATATATTCTTGTTAAATGATCGTTCGAAAGAACTTACTCAGTCTCACAGTCTTTATAACAGAGATACAGGGTGAATTATCGGTTTCGAATAATTATTCACTCGTCCATAAGTATTAAACTACCGTAAACTACCCATCGCAGTAATATTTTCTCAAATTTGGTATTGAGCTTACTTGGGACGATGGATTCATTGACCTATCAGGCAGAATGGAAATACAGGTTCAGCTTCAGGAGAAGTCTCATAGTCTTTATAACAGAGATACAGGGTGAATTATCGAATTATAATTATTTGGTATTATTTCCATTCCGCCTGATAGGTTAATGAATCTATCGTCTCAAGTGACTACATGCCAAATTTGAGAAAATGTTACTGGGTAGTTTGATACTACTTATGGACGAGTGAACGATTATTCAAAACCGATAATTCACCCTGTATCTCCGTTATAAAAACTGTGAGACTTAGTAAGTTCTTTAGAGCGATTTTTTGACTGAAATATATCGATTAATCATAATTGACACTGATTTCATAATTTCAATAGTCTTCAAATTGACATACTTTCAATTTTATGTTTATGATCATTTCTATGAGAATTGGTGGCGGGAAAACAAAAAGCATCAAATCCAGTTCAGTTTTTTCTCCTCTTCACGATTCCTTTGATGAACTCTGTCAATTATCACATACAGTGTGTTATTTTAATATTTCGAATAAATGTAAATGTTTCCTGAATCCGAACCTGAATTTTCACTCCGTCCGATAGGTGAATGAATTTAACGTCCCAAGTATAAGCTCCTCACCAAATTTGAGAAAAATATACTGGATAAGTCAATACATACAGACGAATGAATAATTATTCGAAATCGATAAATCGCCCTGTATCTCCGTTATGAAAACTCTAAGACCTATTAAATATGGTATTTTCAGAACCACCTTGGTAACCCCTATCTACCATTGGAATATTTCCCTTTACCTGTGAAACACCCTGTATATTCGACAAATATTTGATTCACAGTAATACATCGAGAGCTGGAGGAGTAATGTGGCTGTAACATTATCAGGCTACACCTATTCTACGTCAGCAAATCAACTATCAAGTTATGATAGGTTAATCATATGATCAGATATCAAATATAATTAGAGCCTTAATTACTAGTTCAATTCTGTTGACTGCTGAATTCATAATGAAATCTTTCAAGTTCCGCAGTATCCTAGTAGTATAAACGTTTGACAGTAGATAGGATCCATCCGATCGAGCCCCGGTTCGAGTCCGACTCCCGACTATATTATAATATTCTGAATGGAGGCATCGTAGATAGGCACAATTTCAACACTCAAACACATTTTCATTCACTCTGGACGGCTTGTACAAAGATGACCGTTTATAAAAATACAACATCGACAAGTGACTCGTTCTGATGCTACGATGCTGATGACTAAACCTGCTTCAATTTTCGATCACTCGAAGATTACGAATACTCATGAGTCGTCGAGGCCGCTTGTGATAAGGCATTCCTTAGGCGTTCTTCTCAATTACGGTGTTATTCAAACATCGTCGCTAACAATATCATTTTTTTTATTTTCAACCGAATAGTGTCGGCAGATAGTCTGGCGGCCTACTAGCGGCCGGTGCGACACGTGCTAGCCGGGCTGACGATGTATCTTTTTTGTGGCCCGCTGATGTTGCCGGTCGACAGTTTTTGCAGGTCGACTAAATGCTCGCGCGATACATGTTTGCTGGGTACCTTCTAGTGAGCATATATGATATTCCAGATTTCAGAAATATAGCTAGAAAAACAAAGGAGAAGAGTGTGATATACCACAAGTCTGTGTCACCTGGTATAACCTATTATCGAGTACCTAATTCAATAATCTTATTGAAAGTATTATCAGGATAGCCTATCTTGTGGTATATCGTTCCTTGAAGTTCAAATAAGATTTTTTTTTCAGGATTTGATCGAACGTTTCGAAAAAAAGTTGCACTTCAATTTCAAAAAATCGGTATTGGCCATGATGACCCCTCTGCCAGATTTCCATGCCAAAGAACTGCATGATGCCATTACTGGAACTGGTAAAGATGATGACGCCCTCTTAGAAGTCCTTTGCAGCATGTCGAACCAGGAAATCTTGGCTATACGACAGGCGTATCATGCTAGTAAGTGTTTCGACATATATTCGAGGATTACCAATTCAATAATATATTTACAACTACTCGAACAGCACATATACTTTCAATGTAGGTACATTATACGTCCAAGGGACGTACACGATTAGATGTTGAACGTCCAATGTGCGTCCATTGGATGGCATGAGGACACCACTTGGATGTCCATATTTGGGCTCACAATGAGAGCTCATTTCTTGACATACAATAGATGTATATTATTGCACATACATTGAACGTACACGAATGGACGTTAAGCATCCAATAGAAGTCCATGGATGTCCTGGGGACACTTTCTTACAGAAAGAGTGGATGTTAACGTTTATACTTGAAATTTACGTCCAATGGATGATCAGTTCGAGACATTTGGTGAACGCCTCCTTTATACTTACAATAGATAATCATTATGAATCCGCAGTTGTTAGGACTCCAATTCCATGGTGCACTGGACAATTCAATCTCATCCTATTGTGTTTGAAACGTTACTTGAAACATAACCCAGACGGTTTTTCGATTATTTCTCAGTTGCAAGAACGTTTGAACGAAACCAAAATGAAATGTTTCAAGAAAAATGCTCCCATGTGAGAATTTATGTTCCTATGCTGCTTCTACTGATGTTTCTTGTTGTGATGCCTACATCTATTGATCATTCCAGAGGTACGTCATTTGACAATTCGCTGAAGGGCAAGATTGTAAGATTTTTTATATCAAACCAGAATTAGTGCATGGAATAATATTTCTTAGAATCCGAGTTGGAACCCGAGAGAATTCCATTATTTTGTTTGGTGAAACTGTTATTATATAGCAGATGTGGGCAGGCATGGCCAGGGCTATGCTCATCCAAGTTAACCTAACAGATACTTTGTGTGCCCTCCAAAATATCATGTCAAAGTCACGTCGTGTAGTATGGTCATTGGTATCCCGCTTCGAAATGTAGAGGAGCAAGTAATATTTATTTCTTTTGTCGAATTTCTTGTTGCTAAGCGAAGTTATGTGATGGGTGCGCCAAATGCGGGTGTGGAGTGCGGGAAGGGAAAGGATCGGTACAAAGTCAGTGGAAAACGAGACCACACGACACTACAAACGACGCAAGTCAGTGAGAGCTTAGCTAGCGTGTGATCATCGAGAGCTCATTGCTCAACATCATTCAATACTACTAATGCTACAATCCTATTTCGAGTTTGTGAAATACCTATAGTTATATTGAATATCCAATGGACGTTCGATTTGTAACATCCACTGTACGTCATCTTCGTACACAGGATGGATGTTGGTTTAACGTCCATGAACGTTTAGACCTTCAAAGAAAAAACAAAACACTAAGTCGGTCGACCATAAACTTTGTGGTCGACCGACTTAGTGTTTTGTTTTTTTTTTGAAAAAATCTGGACCACTTTGAGAAGATGGAAGGTTTCCATGACTTAGTTTAGACCTTCAGTTAATGTTAATTTGATACATTTCTTTGAAGATTTGATAAGGGAGGTGATGAGGAGTGAATTTAACTCTAATATGCATTATGTAATTGAAAAATTCTTTAGCCACATTCGTCAAAATTTTGCAGGCAATAGCTATTTAACTGGGTATACAAATGAAACTAAAGTTGCTTCATAAGGGTTTGTTATACTATACAGGGTGTTCCATAAACATACCGACGAACTTCAAGGGATGGTAGAGGACATCAGAATAAACATTTTTGCTCGATAAACATAAGTCCGGAAACCCTTCGTTTTCTAGATACAGGGTGTTGAAATTAAAAAAAAACGATTTTTTATCAATATCGTGAAAACGATTCAGTCGAATTCACTGAAATTCTCACAGATTATTGATACATTCATAATATATCTTTTGGAGCTATTAGAATTTGCCTAATAATTTCAGGGGCGTGCCAACGGGCTATGTCGGATAGTTTTTGCGCAAAAAAAATATCGCTCAGTAGATTTTTTGTGATTATGATAATTTTTTTTCAATGAACAACTAGAAATGCAACTTTTTTGTCCCTTGGAATTTTTCCGTATCTACCTTCGTTTTGAAGAAAAAAAAACCATATCTTACATCTATGAAAAAAATCAAATGCTTCAAAATTATACCTTACATTTTACCAATGCGTTTATTGAAATATTGAAAAACTAATAAAACTTCCAATTACTTGTTTTTACTAATCATTTATTATTATTAATGACATTCAATCATTTTTTGTATCTTGAAAACGAAGAGTTTCCGGACCTATGTTTATCGGGCAAAAATGTTTATTTTGATGTCCTCTACCATCCCTCAAAGTTTGTCGGTATGTTTATGGGACACCCCACCCCGTATAATACTAAAAATGTATCATCGAACAAGTTCTACTAGTATTTACTTTTCACACATCCGCTTCAGAGTGAGAGCCGCTATCACAAATACATGCTCGGAAGCGGAATCAAATTATTTTTTATGTGCACGGCACCGTCGGTTATCCTTCGTATGAGTTCTTCCTGGGTATTTACTGGGGTTACAGGAACTAGCGCTTTCATATGACCCCACACATAATAATCAAGGGAGGTTAGGTCAGGGCTTCGCGCTGGCATACCAATTTGACCTGACCTTCCTCAGGAAAACGTTCATCCAGGAACTGCCGAACGATCAGCCCATAATGCGCTGGACAACCGTCTTGTTGGAATATCATTAGTTCTCTGATGGCAAGAGAAACGTCCTCCTGTAGATCATGCCGTAGGGTATGTGCGTACATTCCCCCGTTTCAATTGTCTAGGAAGAAATATGGTCGTATTAAATATCGGTCAATGAGTCCCATCCACATATTTACAGAAAATTTCCGTTAGGAAATAGTTTTTCTTGTTGAACGGGGTTTTCTTCAGCCCAATAATGGAGGTTATGAAAATTTGTTATGCTTTTTGGATGCCTGGAGCAAATAAAAATGAAGAATAAACTGTTGCAGCATCGCCAAAAATGAATACTGATAGTCATTCTTCCAGTATGTTTCACTATTCGTTTGAAATAACAAACCAGCATTTCAGTTTCATTTGCACCAGTTAGACAGCTGTTGCCTAAAAGAAGTCTTCTCAAGTTTTTGACAGATGTTGCTTGAAGATTTTTCTAAGAATAACAGCTAGAAAGTGTTAAAATCTACAATTCACAAACAAAAATGCAATTTATCTATGATCTCCTTTTTTTCAATCAATCAACTTTATTATTTCCAAGAAACATCATTTGTTTATAGAAGGGAACATTGTGAATATATTAATATATTTGAAGAAATAAAGGAGGAATCTCTTTTCTTTTTTAGTTCAACTGAAAATGATTTTTAATTGACTCAGCTGTTACCTTGCACTCCTTGAACGCACAGATGCGTATCGCAAAATGGAGCAAAATAATCCAAATCAGTTATTTTCTATGGAACACCCCATATATATTCAATTCTATTGAAAGATCGTCTTCTTCTAGAAATTTTTGTTCTGAAATTGTTATTATCCATCATTCTGTTGCCCCCTTATGAGCAACCCTCAGAAGTCTGCAAGAGACTTGTGCGAGCAAGGAATGACGGGGGTCTTGCCTTTTAACATGTGATCCCAAACACTTTCTTAGGACATCAGAAAATTTTTTGCGGTCGTGGTGGGAATCGAACCCACCTACCGGTAATCTAACGTGGATAGAATATTGACGCTTTGTTCACAAATATATCAAGTTTGCTAATGTTTTCACGAGCCAGTTATCTCCTATTCAACATTGAATCAAAGTTGCCGATAACATTTAGATGGCTGTGGACACAACAGAAATGCCATTGAGACAAAAACAAGTATTTCTCGACATCTCTGTTGATTCTTCAATCGAAATGGGTTGAGATTATATTATAAAAATATTGCATAAATTTCAGTTGTGCAGCAAGAATTCAGACAGAAGGGAACATTAACAAACTATATACACTCACCGGCAAAAAAAAACCGGCCACAAAAAAACTAAGGCAAATTGTTTGCCCTGTTACTTTTTCAATTCTTGTCCGATTTTGTTGTTGCGGAATGTTAGCCTGAATATTAGGTCCTAAGGAGAGCAGATGGCTTGATCATTATGCAGGGAAAAACAAAAGTTACTGTTACACCCTAAACTTCTCAAGCCCTGTGGCAGAGGTGAGTGGTTGAACTTCATTATGTTTTGAACTGAAGTGTAATCCCTTCTCAACACAATGGTTTTTGAATCACATCGATAACCACAGTTTGAGAAAAGATAGAGGTATTTCAAGAAGGTATGGGATTTTTTTATTTTTATCAACAATGATTCAGAACCATCCTCCAACCTTCTGTTTCATTATGTTTTGAGTTAAAGTGTGATCCTATTTCTTAACACAATGGTTCTAGATTCACGTCAATATATCATTCTTGAGAATTATTCGATTCTTATTGACAATGTTCTCTGAACATTACAGGATATCCCTTTTCGTGGGAACCAGAACATGAAAAAAAAACAATAATTCAGAACAACTAGAGCATCAAAGGGATGAACTCCAGAGGCTCATTCGCCATCAGTTCTCTTTCGTTTAAGATTCATTATAAAATCTTATGGCTTTACTTCTTACATTTCAGATTACACCAGTGTTACATCATCATCTTCAACTTGCATTGATAATATAATTACGGATTTGAATGATCAAAGTATTGAGGTAGGCATTCTAGAGCCTTGCTTATCTGATCATCAAGCCCAATTGTTAACTATCATATTAATATTTGATAACAGAAATGATAGGATATCTATATCCTCCATAATACGAGTTGGATTGAATGAATTCAAATCAATACTATCTGAGTCAAACTGGAGTATATCAGATTCTCAAGGTGACATTTACTATCTATGCGAATTCTTCATTGATACACTCCATAATTCCATCAGGGTCTCTTTTCCCGTGACGAATTAAACTTGGGGTACAAATAATTTCCAGATGAACTAGTATATTGATGATCTTGAAAATATGGAAGACCCGAACTATTGAAATATAACATATCATA